CAGGAATGAGGATCTACACATTAGCACATCTTTGGGGAATGAAACGTCATGGAAGGAGCTCCTTCACCACAGTAGGAAAGAAGGAGAACAAAAAGCAGCTAGAACTTACCCTTTGCCACGTAGGCAAACAACACGCCTCAATGAGGATGGGGTGAAAGACCTGCCACAGAGAGAGAGAACCCACTCCAATAGTAGCTTAGATGAACTCTGGGTTAAGTTCTTGGAGTGCCAGAAGAGACACCAGCACCATGATTTTAGGAGTAATGGTGAGCTGAGCCTTGTGGAACGCCTAGATCGACTGGCCAGGGTCCTTCAGAATCCCCTTAAGCATACACTGATACCAGCAACATCTGACAAGAGTGCTTCTGGAAAGAAAATAAAGGGAAGAGAACAGGAGAAAATCAGAGTGCCAGAAAAAAGCATGTCTGAAAGTACCTCAGAGCCTGATGCAACACATGTTGAAGGAAGACCACGCATCACCCATGACAAAAATAGCTTTGTTGAGCTGAGGAAAAACAGGTCAGGAGAGAAAATCATCTGCCACATGAAGAACGTTTTGGAGCAGCAGCAGTACTTGGAAACTCCAAGTGACACCTCCTCCGAGGCAAGGCTTAGTGGAGATCATGGCACCACCATCAGTTCCACCACCTCAGAATCAGATGCAGTGACCCAAACAGAGATGGAAACTGTCACTCAGACTGAGTTGAGCAGTTCCATTTCCACCATCGATACTGCCAGGCTGATCAGGGCTTTTGGCCATGAAAGAGTTCGGGTGTCCCCAAGGCTCTCCCAGCTTTATCATACCATCAACCACCAGAGAAGTCGCTCTGAAAAGTGGGACAAGGGCAAAGCAGTGGGTGTGGAGTATCCAAAGGCCATTTCTGAGAGGCACAAGAAGAGGAAAGAGATCCAGGTATGTGGTCAGATAGAGCAAAAGACAATTTGATCTGATCTTTACAGGAACTTCTCAACTGTTGAGCAGTGGGAGAGTTGGTTATTTGGGGAATCATTTTAACTTCCCAGAGTGTTGTTTGTATCACAGGCTCCTGTCCTTGGTCTGAGTAGCTCCAACAAGCCTCTCGACCTTCCCAGGAATGAAGATGAACTGTAGAAACATAGAGTGGTTTGGGTTGGAAAGGAGCTTAAGATCATCCAGTTCTAACCCCCTGCCATTACCCATGACCATGTTGCCCAAGGCTCTGTCCAACCTGGCCTTGAACTCTGCCAGGGATGGAGCATTCACCACTTCTCTGGGCACCCTGTGCCAGCGCCTCAGCACCCTCACAGGGAAGAGCTTCTGCCTTAGATCTAACCTGAACTTCCCCTGTTTCATAACCTGATCTTCCCCTGTTTCAGTTTGGACCCACCACCCCTTGTCCTATCACTCCAGTCCCTGATGAAGGTCCCTCTCCAGCATCCTTGCAGCCCCCTTCAGACACTGGAAGCTGCTCTGAGGTCTCCACACAGCTTCTCTTCTCCAGGCTGAACAGCCCCAACTGTCTTAGAACTGTTCTTTCTTTCCCTTGAAAGGTCCTTTTCAACCCAAACCAGTCTGTGATTCTATGATGCTGGTGATTCCTGTGGTGCTTGGCTGAACAGAAGTCAATAGTTACTTACTTTTAGTTACAAATATCTGTGCTTAAAGATTGATATTTACTTACAGTGAGAGCTCTTCTCCTCAGAGACCACTGTACCATTCTTTCAGGCAAATGCTGCATTTTACAGCTCAGTTTCTGACAGCCTATTGTCAGTTCAGCTTCCCAAAAACTCCGTTACAGCTTTTTTTATTTATAGATGCTGAACCCATCATCCCAGAAGGATTTTTATCTATTCCAGTTTCTGTTCTTTCTAAAGCACTCTTCATGCTGCCATCTGGTAGCAGGTACAAAGCTAAAGGTTGAGCTATTCAACTGCTGAAGGGCTTTGAAAGTACTGTGCTGAATATTCGAGTCCAAATAGAATCTCTGTGTCTTTATTCAGCCCTGAATGGCTGCTCATATTTATTTCTGTGGGCTGATATGCATGTAAATAGGTTATCTTGGTGTGGTTTTTCCATGCTTTCTACTCTTTTCCCTTTAGCTGAGCACATATTCAAATCTGCTTTGTTCTCTGAATGACACAGATCTACTACATCTGTCTAGTGCACTCTACTAGTGCTGGAATAGTTATATGAAACTAAAAACCCAGTTCTTTACCAGTGCATGTGAGGAAAAATTGCTTCTTTTTAATGCTGAAACAAAACCCTGTGTAGCATTGAAGTGCTGCTAGCAGAGCTTCAAACAAAAGGCAATAAAAAAAGCCTCTCTTCATTTCTGTGTGATGAGTTACTAACAGGATACTAATTGCTGTGCCCAAGGAATGAAAAAGTAAATCCGTTCCATAATTAAACCCTAAATCCAGTGGAGTTGCAGAGGTGTTGGGTTTGGAGCCTGGGGCAGCTCTTGCAGTTAATGGCTGTTAATAAACCACTCTACAATAGAGAGCCCAGAATCCTCTGGATTAGATTAGTGTGGTTTACACTGCGAGTTTATTCCTTGTGACATGGCTGTGAAGTTATAACATGTCCCTGGGGCGTTGGACTAGATGAACTCTGAAGGTCCCTTCCAAGCCAGGCTGTTCTATGATTCGATGTTGTGCAATCTAAATTCATGTCATGGGTTTAAATTTAAACAGGGGAAGTTCAGGTTAGATCTAAGGCAGAAGCTCTTCCTTGTGAGGGTGCTGAGGTGCTGGCACAGGGTGCCCAGAGAAGCTGTGGCTGCCCCATCCCTGGCAGTGTTCAAGGCCAGGTTGGACACAGGGGCTTGGAGCAACCTGCTCTAGTGGAAGGTGTCCCTGCCCGTGGCAGGGGTTGGAGCTGGAGGAGCTTTAAGGTCCCTTCCAACCCAAACCACTCTAGGATTCTGTGCCTCTTTTTGCTGTTTAAACCCCACTGTCTGTTCATTTTGGTCAGTATTCCATCAATTTCTGTTCTCTTGCATGTTGTTCTTCTAGACTGCCATCTCCCTTTCTTCAGATGCAACTTCTGCAAGCAGCACGTGGGGCCCCAGCTCTGCTCTTAGTAACAAGCGACGGGCACGGATGCTCAACAAAGGTATCCAAGCAGGTGAGTTGTGAATTCCAGACTTTTCTGTATCTGCTTCTGCCTTTGATCTCTTTGGAAACCATTCTCCAAAGTCTGATGCACATTTCTGGTGATGGGTATGTACAAACAGCATTCTCCAAATGCTTTTAGAGAGAGATGTTGTGTTGTAATCTAAATGAGCCGTTTCATTTCATTCCTTGGGCTGCTTTAGGAGCCAGTTTTCTCGCTTAGCAGTTTATTAACCCAAACTCCTGACCTGTTTCAATAGCAAAGGTGGACTAAGTGTGTGTTTTCTGTCTTATTTTCTCCACAAGACATCTGTTGCACACAGAATGTATTTGTGGGCATATGCTATTTTAGAAGGCAACTGCAGTGTTTCTTATTCTTCTTGGTGATATTTTAGTTGTTATATTCTATTTAAAACATAAGCTGATCCGGGGCTGGTGCAGTGCTGCATCCCATCATCAGATTGAGCAGTGTGTGTTCTATTCATCACACACATCCATTAGTTATTTATTACTGCTTCTTTTCCCCATGTGCAAGTGGATTGAATCAGAAAAGTCTTTTCATGGCTTGTTTTCAAGATCGTGTTACAACATTTTCAATGTTAGTTGACACCTTTCCACTGTATATGCTTGTGTTAAATATTTGTGGTGGTGTTTCTGTTAAATATTTGTAGTGTTGTGGGCAAACCAACCTTCTGTAGCTAAAACATAGTTTTGGATGGGACACACTGAGTAAACTACTGCAGTTCCATTGTCCAGAATGCAGAGCTGTATGTTGATCTGCCACTGTGTCTTTTGGCAGAGGATTGAAGTAGATTCACAGACTCACAGAATGGTTTGTGTTGGAAGGGGCCTTAAAGCTCCTCCAGCTCCAACCCCTGCCCCGGGCAGGGACACCTTCCACTAGAGCAGGTTGCTCCAAGCCCCTGTGTCCAACCTGGCCTTGAACACTGCCAGGGATGGGGCAGCCACAGCTTCTCTGGGCACCCTGTGCCAGCGCCTCAGCACCCTCCCAGGGAACAACTTCTGCCTCATATCTGATGTTTCTGTTTCATTTTCAACTACAGGAGACTTGGAGATTGTCAACAGCGCAACTAAGAAAAACACTCGAGATGTTGGGGTGACTTTTCCTACCCCAAGATCAAACCAGCCAAAGGAACAGCCCCAGGAACCCTGGCACTGCATGGATGGTAATTTTGGAGAGTCAGATGGTATGGTCACAGCTCAGCAGGCAGCAGGCAGCAAGGGGAAGCAGAAGGGACAACCAGGCAATGTTTTCATGGAGAAAAGGACAAAAAGGAGCAGGCTGCATTTACCACAAGGTCAGTCCAACATACACTTTCTCTGCACACCAGAAAAGTTGTACAGCTCAACAGCAATCAGCAAAATAGGTGAGAAGTGTTAGCTAGGACACTAAGTAGTCTGTCCCTAGTACAGTCAGTCCTTATTCTGATTTAAATCCATGATTTTAAACAAAACTACTGTGTCAAGTGCACTATTATAATGGTATTTTCAATGAAGCTGATAGAGGTGACCTGGCCAGTGAAGGTAGTAAAGAATAAGCAATAGATAAGGAAAGGTGAGTGAGATGAGAATCATGCAGGTACTTCAGTTTGATTTTCAAGCTATAAAAGGTTCTATTAACCTCTGAGTAGTCACTTACTGTTTCATGTCCTGAAGCTTAAAGGAACAAGTATGTTTTCAGCAGTACATGAGGGAAGAATGTGGCACCAGAACTAGACTCGTCTCCCTGTTTCAGCTGGAGTTGCATTTTCGGGCTGATGCTGTAGCCTCCTCCTGGCTTTTCTCTCTTTCTCCTTTTAAATTTCCTGTCAGTTGTCACAATGTCATAATTAAATGTTTAAAAATATTTTCCTTAGTCATCACTGTTGTTGTTGTAGGGACAAATCATTCTCTTTCATACTGGTTTCATTTAGTACATTTAGAATATCTGCGTGGAGTACAAGCTGATGTATTCAAATCCCATTATGTGTGTAAACTGTGAGTAATCTAATTCTTGCATACACATTTAACATTTAGAAGATGTAAAGCATTTCATCTCCAAAAATATCTATAAAAAGCCATAGGGCTTAGGACAACAGAGATGCTCATTAAACGTGTAATTGCTGATGAATAACTTTTTTATAGAGAGAAACTTGCAAACTAAACCATTTTGGGCTTTCCCAAAGTGGTGTTTGATAAAGAGTTGCTGGTTTTCTGACACTTGGCAAAGGAATTGTTTTCAAACTGCCCAAGGTGTCTGCTACAGAGTCCCACTGTTGTTAAACTGAAGTGAGTATTTATTGCAGTGTGGTGTTATGCTGCTGACTGGATTTAGCTAGAACTTCAGGCATTGTGGTTTAAACCCAGCTGGTAGCTTAAGTACCATGGAGCCATTTGCACACTGTCCCCCTGGTGGGATGGGGGAGAGAATCAGAAGGGTAAAAGTGAGAAAACTCATCAGGTGAAATAAAGAATTCAATAGTAAAGCAAAAGTTGTGCACACAAGCAAAGCAAACCAAGGAATTCATTCGGCACTTCCCATCACAGGCAGGTGTTGGGCTCCATCACCCATAATGGTGTCTTGGGACACCATCACACCCAACATCCCACCTTTCCTCCTTCTTTCCCCAGCTTTATATGCTGGGCGTGATGCCATTTGGTTTGGAATATCCCTCGAGTCATGGCTGTGTCACCTCCCAGCTCTTTGTGCCCCCTCCAGCCTCCTTGCTGGTGGTGTGGAGTGAGGAGCAGAAGAGGCCTTGCCCCTGTGTAAAAGCTGCTCAGTGATAACAAGAACATCCCTGTGTTATCAACATTGTCTCCAGCACAAACCCAAAACACACCCCATACCAGCTACTGGGAAGGAAATTAACTCTGCCCCAACCAAACCCAGTACAGGTATCAAGGGCCATAGATGGGGGTGGAAAATAGGCACATATATTGTCTACAAAACTTTATTCTCTTCTGTGGTCTTTCAACAGGGATTTCATGGTTTGTGCAAGCAGGAGACTTGAAATCTGAATCTAGGAAAGAAAACCATTCCAATTCCTTGTCTGGTCCTGGTCCATCTTGGTTTGAGCCATTCACCAGCACAAAACCTTGGAGAGAGCCTCTCCGTGAGAAGAACTGGCAGGAGCAGCAGCACAGCAACGTGGTTCAGGCAGGAGTTCCAGGAAGAGACCCTGAGAATAGGTCCACATGGCCCTATGTAAAGCTCACGCTGCAGGTAAAGGCACTGCACTGGGAGGCTGCTGGGATGTCAGTGGGATTTCAGGAGTTAGGCTGAATCTTGTGGAAACACTTAGTGTCCCTGCCTCTGGCAAGGGGTTGGAACTGGATGAGCTTTAACGTTCCTTCCAACCCAAACCAGTCTGGGATTCTATGATGCTTGTTCAATTATTTCACCATTATAATAATTTATACTCATTGGAAACCCAAGAAATTCATCAATCCTTTTTGCTTATGGTAATCTGGCTTTCCAGAATATCCTATTGGAGCCACAGAGCTGCTGCGAGGGCTGGAGCAGCTCTGCTCTGGAGCCAGGCTGAGAGAGCTGGGCTGGGGCAGCTGGAGAAGAGAAGGCTCCTCAAGGGGACACCTTAGAGCAGCTCCAGGGCCTAAAGGGGCTCCAGGAAACCTGGAGAGGGGCTTTGGACAAGGGATGGAGGGACAGGACGAGGGGAATGGCTTGAACCTGCCAGAGGGGAGATTGAGATGAGCTCTTGGGCAGAAGCTCTTCCCTGGGAGGGTGCTGAGGCGCTGGCACAGGGTGCCCAGAGAAGCTGTGGCTGCCCCATCCCTGGCAGTGTTCAAGGCCAGGTTGGACACAGGGGCTTGGAGGAACCTGCTCTAGTGGAAGGTGTCCCTGCCCGGGGCAGGGGTTGGAGCTGGAGGAGCTTTAATTCCTTTCCAACACAAACCTTCCTATGGTCTGTTCATGTGCTTAGAGCCTGCCCTGTCTCTAAGCACAGGGGGAAACTGAAGTGTGGCAGAGCCATGGGGAGATCACTTTCAAAATTCCACTTCTGATCCAAACCAGATTGCTAATGTTGATGTGCCACTGATTTACAACAGGGGAGATTGCAATAAATTATAGAATCTCATATCCTACGGGATTAACTTTATTTTGTGTTTTTGAGAAGAAGTTTGTGTCCATTTTTTCTAACTATTTTAGCATTTTCTTTTCTTTCTGGCCAGTTCTTTGTCAACAACCAGAAAATGAGTTTGTTAAAGGAGGTCTCTGAGGATCTACCCAGCATTAGGGCTACAAGTTTATTGTATTTTATACCAGATAGTACTTTGATAGGCTTTTTTCCATGCTTTGGTGATGGTATTAGATACCTTCCAGCTCTGAGGAGACAATCTGCCCACTGGAGACTTTGTTTTGTGTCATCCCATCTCAGGAGGCTCTTGCAGTGCATCGCCCCGACTTCATCTCCCGCTCTGGAGAGCGTGTGAAGCATCTGAAGCTTGTCATGGAGGAGAGGAAGATACAGAGTGTGCTGCAGTCCCAACGGGAAGAGCTGTTTAACCCTCCAGAGAAAAGAAGGGGCTACAGGACTGCAAGTCACATGCTGTCTGACAGAGGTACCTTCATGCTTCTGCTTTGTACCTTCTACAGGAACTAATGAATTATCCACATTAAACTTAAGAGTATGTGTATTTTTAATGAAAGTATTACAACTCCTTAACTCTAAGAATCCTTAACTTCTAAAGGAGTCACATTCCTGCAGCAGTATTCTTTGTGAGAAGTAGATTTGTTCACCATTTTCTTCTCTCAAAATTTTCCATTTAGGTATTCTCGTTAGAGAAAAGAGAAGAACAATTCCAAGGGATGAAATGGTTCAAAGATCTAAACGGTGAGGTTATGAGCATGTTGGTTTGGGTGGTCTTTTCATCAGGGACTGTAGCAATAGGACAAGGGGTGATGGGTTCAGACTTAAACAGGGGAAGTTCAGGTTGGATACAAGGCAGAAGCTCTTCCCTGTGAGGGTGCTGAGGCGCTGGCACAGGGTGCCCAGAGAAGCTGTGGCTGCCCCATCCCTGGCAGTGTTCAAGGCCAGGTTGGACACAGGGGCTTGGAGCAACCTGCTCTAGTGGAAGGTGTCCCTGCCCATGGCAGGGGGTTGGAACTGGATTATCTTAAGGTTCTTTCCAACTCAAACCAGTCTGTGTTTCTATGATTCTATAGATAAGTGATCTGGGTAGTAAGAGGGATAAATGGTGTCTGAAGTCCAAGAACTGAGTCTTGTAAATAGCTCAGCTTTTTCAGTCAAGATGTAGGCACTTTATCAGAGGTTTGTGAGGAGGAGCTGTGGAGGTTGGGTTGCCTGGCTGGGGAGGAGGAGAGTGAGGGTGACGATCTGGCAGCAGTGGTTTTCTGCCAAAAGAGGGATTTAGAGAAGGCAGAGGAGGACTCTTCTTGGAGGTACACAGTGACAGGACAAGTAGTACTGGTGATGTGTTACAGTAAGGAGAAGTTCTAACTGGAGACAGGGATATCAGTCCTTCATGAGGAGGGTGGTGATGTGCTGAACCACGATCCCACAGAGCTGGTGGAGCCTCCATCCTTGGACACAGTCACGAGTTGACAGGATGAGGCCTGAGGAGCCTGATCTAGCCAGGAAGTTAGCCCTGCTTTGAGCAGGAGGTTGGACTGGTGTCCTCCAGAAGTCCCTTACCTTCAGTTACACCCCGATTTGCAAAATATCTATTGGAATTGACAATATATAAAATAAAGCCCTATGATGGTAGAGTCCAAACTGTTTTATTTCAGTAGCCTTTGGAATTGAGAAGTATTTTCAGGATGTCAGTAGGGAGGTGGCAGAAGTGGTGACAGTGGTAAATACAGCAGTTCCCCGAGGAATCTCCACCTGTTTTAGCTGAAGTAGAAGGATTCAGGTTCAGGTCGCTTGGACTGTGAGATGGATGGACCTGAACTGGTATGTTTTGAGAAACACTGATTTCATAATACCCAAAGTCAGCAGGATTTCTATGGAGACTGGTTCAGGCACTCTCACTTGGTGACTTTCTGTTCTTGCTGCTGTCATGCTCAGTTGGAGCTGAGAAGTAATTTATTCTGTACCATTCTTCTCAAATCCACACCTCTAATGAGAGCAGAAGCTTTTCCTTGTTCTCTGGGAGGGTATAAATGGGATTTCTTATGGCAAATTACCTACAGGCAATGAAAACAAGTTTCAGTTAATTTATGTGCAGTTCTGCATTGCCCACTTCTTGCTCCAAGCATCTTTATGGTGGGATGAGTTGTGAGGGGTTCATCTTGATCTTTTTCACCTAGAATGGTGAAAGCCTTTAAAGAATGGTGAGATGGTATTAGAGCAACCACACAAATCATGTATCCAGAACAAGCTGGAGGCTTTTGTTCTATTTGCTGATTATCAAAGCAGCATCTTAAGAAATGAGTTATAATAAGATGTGTCTTGCTTTAAATATTACAGGACTGACATTTTTGGACATCATTCATTTCCACCTCCTGCAAACCACAGTGTTTTTAAAGCTGCATGTTTCTTGGCAACCACTGCCAGGAAATTAGGGAAGCTTTATGATCTTAAAGGAAGATCTGGGGAAGGCAGTGGGAGCAATACAGTGCCATCCTCACCCTCGGGTCCCTCTTTCAGCTGGTAGCCCATAAACCAGACTGGAATAGCACAGCTTTTATTCATAGAATCCCAGACTGGTTTGGGTTGGAAGGGACCTTCAAGCTCCTCCAGCTCCAACCCCTGCCCCGGGCAGGGACACCTTCCACTAGAGCAGGTTGCTCCAAGCCCCTGTGTCCAACCTGCCCTTGAACACTGCCGGGGATGGGGCGATCAGCTCCAAGTATCCCTTGTTGTTTGGCTCTGGAATGGGAGGAGTTCAATGCTGGTGAAGAAACAGCCTTCACCTAAACAGGACAACATTGCTGAATGCTGAAAATAGCAATAGATGCTGACAACAGATGCTTAAATAGCTGAAATCAGGTTATTTTTGTGATAATGATATTGATGGGTAAATATGTTGCTTGGGATCAGTATAACCAGTACATCAAAGCGAGGGGCTGTTCTGCACTGCAGATGTTGAAGATCTACGTTTTGCAGCTGGGTAATCATATGGTCATTTTCATGTTCTAAATGCTGCTTTTAGGAGATGCTGCTTGTGATAAAGGCATTATGGGATGTGGGAATTGCCAGTATCACAACTGCTACATATTCCACAGGTGAGCAACCTGCTCTAGTGGAAGGTGTCCCTGTCTGCGGCAGGGGGTTGGATCGGGAGGAGTTTTAAGGCCCCTTCCAACACAAACCACTCTGGGATTCTCCCTGTGTGACACTAATAGACCCCCAAATAAATATTTCTATTATTGACCAGGAGCCTTTAATAGAATGTGAAGATAAAACAGAAGGTGTTTTATCTATATATATATAAA